CTAGATTAACGGAAGCATGCTAGTTTGGTTTTGGGGCTTTAACTGAAAATTTCTTCACAGATGGTCAGGATCACCAAAGGAAACTGTTCACCAGCTCTGATTTTCCAGGCCTTGATCCCTTTCTGCTTTGGAATCAGTAGGAAGGCTGGTTAGATGAATCTCCCTATTTTCTCTCCAGCCCCAATTCAGTTCATGGAAATCATAACAGTGAAAAGGACTATTGATTGATTAGCAACCAGGCAATTTTTGCTGATGCACATAATAAAAACTAGCACTATTAAAAGAAGTGTAAAGATCCTTTCAATGGTTATTTCACAGTGGTAATCAGAATAGTGTCAAGTTCTGTGGTTCAAAATATTTCTAATTAACTCCACACACACTGTCTTTCAAAAAATTGCTAGTATATTACTGCATACTATATAATTGTTTCTAGGCACCCTGATAGCACATAATGGCATAATTTCCTGTCTCTCTAGATATATTGCTTGTTTGCAATGCACGTTGTGGCAGACCTAAATACTGAAAAGGAAAGATTTCATTTATTAGATTAGTTCAGGCATGCAAGTTATTTACTGATTTCTGTGTACATACTTAGAGCACTATGCATTTTTGGCAGAAAACAAAACAAATTGATTCAAAAGAATGCTGTATCAGCACTGTCTCATTTGGTGTTAGAATAAGTAAGATACAAGATCTCTAAACAAGATATTCACTTTGACTTCAGAAGTACTTTTATGAGTTTATATATTGCATATCTTCATTCTTTAAACCCCAGACTGCATTTTGTCTTCTCCTCGCGCCCCCGAAATAGAAAAAAGTATATTTTTGGCCTGCAAATTTACCACAGACATGTTGTTCGATGCCAAGTCAATTACAAATTAGTCATCCAAAGTCTAAAGGTTGGAGAGTGAATGTCCAAACAGTTCTAGCAAGAATTTGGTGTCAAGAGGTAGAACGTTCTTAACAGTTAATGATCTTCCGAGATTTCAGTAAAAACCTCACTCTTGAAGTTCTCTTGAACTGTATTTGAAACATCGCTTCCAGCTGCCTCAATTACCAGGTCCCCATATCAGATACTTATCAGAGCTCTGGAAATAAGGTGCCTTCTCAGAGTAACGGCTAAGCACACACCATGGCAATATTTACCTCTGCCTTTCCCTCCCATTTTTAGCCCCTCCCAGCACTCACATGCTGTGAATCCAGTTCTGACTCAGGTCAGATAGTACCTCTTCCTTCTCACTGTCTCGGCAAGACACATTAGAACCAAAGCTAAACTGAAAGAAAACAGTTCTTTCTATGTTCATATTAGTCTCATAGTGGTGCCACCTCAGCAACACAAGAGCCAAGTTCCAGTTTTGGGAACTCCCATACAAACTACATCAAAGTATCAAAAGCTCTCCTGATCTTACCAGAAGGTCTGTCTTCCTTTGAACCCTCTTTATGCAGAAACGTTGCTGATAGACCTCTCTCAATACACTGTAGTCAGAGTATTGAAAACAGGAGGCTTCTTCTCAAAGAGTGGAAATAGATGTTTGACAAGTGAACACAACTAAAACAGTTATTCTCTACCTCCTCCAAGCAAAAGGAAGTTCACTTTACAGAAGATCCCACAGACTGGATGCAGCTAGCAGGTTGCCAGTTAAACTATGTTTATTTAAGGAATGTACTTGGCTTAAACTCTCTGATCTTCCCATCTTTTTATATAGATAGATAGATGAAATCAAGATTTTTTTGTCACTTTAAATACATATTTCTTATTCATTTTTGAAGATACATGCATTCCTCTTTTGTATATTATTGAAAATTCCCTACCCAAACCTACATGCTGCCTAATAGATAAAAAGGTCTCCAATATGCTTCTATGTGTTTGGAGGATCCCAATAATGCAATATACAACTATTCTGTTTCTTAAATTTCTGGTGTTGCTTTTGTTTAGATAGCAAACTTAATCTGGCATCACCAGTCCGTGAAGCTCAAAGTCCTGGCACTACAGTGTCACTCTTATTCGAATGTCAGTCCAACAAGCGAATACTTGTGTGGTGTCTCAGGTCTCTGTTTCAGCCTCTGAGCCTCTTACATTGACCATTTCTCAGCGTTCACAAACCTGAAAATATAAATTTTATTTCTAACCCTATCCTGATGATTCTTTTTAAAGCTTCTATTTTAAATGCCTAAGGAAATTTACCATTATCTTACCTTTGTTAGAGCTTTTTTCTTCTTTCCTTTTCTTCTTCTATCTTACATCTACAATTGTGGGATTTTTATTTGAATTTTAATGATGTGTTTTTCATTATTTTTGCTTGCATATTTATTATATATTTACATCTGGACAGCACCAACTGCACTGAGATTTTGAAAATAAAAAGTGTGTTGTCCTTCACCTGCGTTACCCCCAAACAGAAGAATGTTAATGACATTTATTTTAATCTCTAGAAGGAAAATATCTGGGCTAACTTCTGAAGAGTATTTCAGATACAAAGACAAATACAGGAGCAATTTTAATTAAGCAACGATAGCTGCTAGATCATAATTAAATGTTAAAAATCTATCGTTGTGCAAGAAAATATTGATCGCAATAATAATGTTATACAAATTAAAAGGACTACTTGGGTTAGACAGATTTAAATTTCCAGATGTCTCTGACAATATAAATTCTCATTGAGAGAAATTAAATGCTAATCTGTATTCAGGTGATCTCTTGAAACATTGTCGGCAGCCTTAAACAAAGAGGAGGTAATCACAGAGAAAGACAAACATGAATAATGCCAATGGTTTGGAAAGATTGGCCTGTCAAAATATGGGACATCTAATTATAAAAAATTGATTTCATAATAAAGTTATTTGACTTTTAAAGCAATTACAGTTTAGACATTCTCTCTGCTAATTCAATCTATATCACCACAGGACATTTTCACTTAGATGACAGCTGCATACTACGTATCAGTCCAAGGAAGGCTGAATGAAACATGTGACTACATTTTTATTCTTGACATAGTCATATAAAGGTTTTCAGGAGCCAATAAAAACAGACCAACCAAACAGAATAGGAACTCATTACAATAGACATGATCAGCATAGTTATGTGAGCTACTTGAAACGTACTGTACGTGCAATTCTCACCATTGTTTTTTTGTCAAACACCTTTTCTGAGGAAAAGAAATACCCATTTGTATCTACATGTTCTATAAGAACAATATTGCCACCATGGAATAGCAGATATTGACCCTTGCGATGGATCTGGGTAATGGATCACAGTTTTGTTCCTCTTGTTCATCAGCTGAAACAGATCACTGTCTGCGTGCTTGCTGGGGGTTTGGCTAACTATGAAGGCACAAACTAAGTGCACTGTCTAAGAGTCTTTCTTAAAAGGTCCTGTGCGCCCTCAGCTCCATTAACTACAGTTCCCAGCATTTCTGAAATGTAAGCTATCATAAATAGGGTCTAGAGAGATTCATTAGAGAAAGTGGTAGATGTTTCAGCTGAATGGCAATTGAAAGCAAATGAGGAATATTAGCTGACTATTTCAGTTGAGTGTGAGCCACATTCAGCTGTATGCTTAAGAAGTATTTCAGTTCGGCATTCAAGTCGCCATGTGCTGGCTGAAAGTTCCCCCTAAACGTTTCAATTGAGGGGTAATTGACCATTGTGTGGGAATGCTGGATGTAATCCCAGCTGTCAATTCACAATTCCGGGATGAAATTCTGAACAGCCAACTGTGCGCTCTAATCACTTGCATATTCACCAGTTCAAATTACAAAAGTTCTGAACTACCAATCAGCTCAGCTGGCCTAGCTAATGTAGTATCTAATTGGAAACTGATCTCTCTATTGATTCCTATTTCTAAAATCATCAATATTTGCTTTTTGTTATATATAAAAGCCTTTCTTTTGTATTAAAGAACATGTCTGCAGTCATCCTGGTTGTCCTGATGTCTTGCCCTATAACCCAAGCAGCAAATAATAATGTTTGATCAGAACTCATTTTAAAGGTTCCTTTCACTGCCTTCTTTCCTCTTTTTATTTTTTGATATTTATTCTTGGGACACCAAAAACATACACTTTTAAATGTTACTTGCACTTTGTTAGTTATATTTAAGGTCATTCCAAGTCTTACCTTCAGCACTCATTTTTTATTTCAGTGCAAATTAGGATGAAAGACGTTCAACCAAAATTTCAGTAGCTCATGGTACAGATAACTGAAATCTTTTTGACTTCTAAGTTTCTAGCTTTTTTTTTTTTTTTAATGACACACACCATTGCCAAGTCTGACAGCTGGGTACAAAATTATGAAATGGCCACATAATAGCTAGGATTTTGCTCCAAGTTTTAGAGCACTTCATCTCGTACGACAGACGTGTCACGCCCAACTTCCATTTTTTAGAAAAAGCTTTTAACCCTCAATCTTTAAGATAAAGAGCTAGAAAGAAAACAAAACCCCACACACGTTAAACCAACCTAGCACTTCGGCGCTCCCGGGCCACCATTTTGAGTGCTCGGGCCTTAGCGCCACTCTGCTCACTCGGCCAGGCCGATGCCCCTGCCCCGCCCGACTCCGCTCAAGCGTTTAAATGAACGGCCCTGAACGCTTTTTAACTGTTGGTAAAAACAACAGTCCGTTTAACGGCACCCGCCCAG